AAATACCTGAAAGCAAATCCTGAGTCCATCACTCTCAAGTTCAGCCCTGGCAGAAGAAAAAAAAAAAAAAAGAAAAATGAGCTATTTCCTTGGTGCTAATCATTGCTCCTTGCCTCTTCAGATATTTTCAGGACCAAATCCAAAAACTAACTCTTACTAATTTTAATCAGTTGTTACTTTCCTTCCCTCCACATGTATACAAGCACCTGTCAACCATCGAGGACCCTGTTGAGATGCATGAAGAGGGAACCCCTACTGTCTGACCAAACCCTAATCCAGCCCCCTGCCCCCCTGTCGACCCTGTCCAGCAGGAAGTAGCAAGATGACAACAGTGCTCCCTATCCTATAACACAAAAGGCTGGAATGTTAAGGTTCAGATAGCCCTGCCGCGTCACCAACAGGATCCCAAGGACTTCTCATGCTCCTGAGAAAAGGGAACCTAGCTGATAAGCACCTTGGTCTTTGAAGTCAAGAGAAGCAGACTTTTCTCCACTGTTTGGCCAACACAGCAGGCTTCCCCTTTGATCTCTAAAGAGGACAGGTCTTAACAGTCCTGCTCTCCCACTCCCCCCCACTTGAACTTTAAAATCTTTCCTCCTTCTGCAGGTGGCAGAAGCCTCCCTTTTAAAGGACCCCAGCTCAAGACCCCATTTTCCATTTTCCCTGCCCAGAAGGGAATCTGTCCCATGTGTTCCTTTGCTAATAAACCCTATTTTGATGGAGTTTTATCTGTGCCTCAGTGCCTCATCATCCATTCGCTCGTTCTCCACCAACTTTTTACCTATCACTTATATCATAAATCTTACACTGTTGAGTCAACTTGCATTCCAGGTTGATTTTATTGGCTGTTTTTCTTAGCATTAAATTTTCACATGCATTCTGGAATTTGGGGTTGTGTGCTTATTTGTGGAAAGCTCTTTGGATGGACCTCCTTCCTCCTCGCTTCCCTCCCTGCCTCCTTCCCTCTTTCCTCCCAGCTTCCCTGTTCTCTCCCTGCCTTTCTCTACATTTCCTATTCAGGTTTCTATTCTACAACCTGTCTTAAGTGATGCTGCAGAGAGCCACAGATGCTGCCATGGAACCAGCAGGTAGCAAAGTCACTCATATTTGCTGGGGGAAATGGTTACTGGAAGACTTTCATCTGCTTTTGTAAGCAAAAAGTCAGACCCTGGTCCTTGGCTTCATGTAAGGTAAGACTCAATCCTCTATTTTTAAGGGGGAAAAAAAAGCAAAAGTGGTTTCAATCACCATCTGTAGCCAAATTTATTCAGAGAGTTGTCAGCATTGTTTTTTACACTCTATAATTTTTGCTTCTCTCTTCAATCTAAGATGTTTTAAAAACTGTATTTCTTCAGGAAGCTGAAATATGAGGATCATGAATTCAAGGTAATCCTTGACTGTGTGTCATGTTGTAGGTCAGCATGGACTCATAAAATATCTGTAGTGGCCTAAATGAGAATGTCCCCATAGGCTACAAGTATTTGACATTTTGTCTCCAATTGGTGGTGCTATTTTGGGAGGTTTTAGGACGTGCTGGAAGAAGCATGTCACTAGGGGTGGGCCTTGAGAGTTCTTAAGCCTTGCCAGATTTCTGGTCTCTGCTTCCTGTGTCTGCTTGAAGATGTGATCCCTTGGCTTTCTGCTCCAGCCTCTTCTGTTGCATGCCTCCCCCTCCACTGTGGACTCTGACCCCAATGCAACCATAAGCCAAATAAACTCTTCCCTCTCTAAGTTGCCTTGGTCATGGTGTTTTATCACAGCAACAGAAAATTAATACAATATCAAATAAACAAAACCCAACACCCTTCCATATTCTTAATTTCATCTTATTAAGGATTTAAATTCCCTTTTAAATTTATGATTGATGCTAATTTCATCATAATTCGATCTCCCATATAGTTAAGATTATATTTTCAAAATGTCTTAAAGCATCTATTTAGACGATATTTTTTTCTTCTGACTTATTAACAAAGTAAATAAATTTAATTCTGATCATGAGCTCATTTGCATGTCTGAATGAGTTGTATTTGATCACAGCACAAGATTCTTTTGAATAAATTAAGATCTTATGTCAATAATCACACATGAAACATCAGTCTTCGTGTATATGCATGTATATATGTGTTATTTTAGAAGTTTGGGCTATTATCATAATAAAGACTTTATTATTAAAAAATCACCTTTTCAATCGGTATAAATCTAAATTTATTAACTCTTCCTGAGTCTTAGGGACTCCCCTGTTGATGAAGGGCCACCTACAATTTTTTCTGCATTTCAGTAGTATGCTTTGTTTTTAGTGCATTTTGTTTTGTTAAATTTCCAAGATACAACACACAAAACCAAAACCTCATAACAATATTCCATGCATTTCTATGCTGGTAAGAATTTCCAAGTTTTACATAAGTGGGCTCACTATAAATATGTTACCAGTATTAGAAAATACTGAAAACCTTTTTTTTTGGGGGGGGGTAGACCATTAATTCTTAATATGATACTGATAGTTATAACATTTCTTCTGGAAAATATTCTTATATGGCTGCAATATAATACTGACCCCAGGAAATGTTTATATTTCTAAAGAAAGTATTACTAATACACAAAGTGTCAGAATCACCTTATAGTAACGATTTCCCCTGGGTTTGCCCTTATGAGCCAGCTACAGTTGATTTTGGCAGGATATTCAGAAGGCCAACCTGGACTAGTGATTATTCCACTTGGTGCTCGGATTTGCTCTGGAGTCTCTCCACAAGCTGGAAGATAGTCAAACAATGTTAGCTAATCATTACATTTTAAAACACAGCATTAAATAAACAACATTTATTACTATAACACTTTAGACATCAAATCATATGCAGTAAGATGTGGTTCATCAACCTCAGAAAGCTTCTATTATTCCACTATGATATTTTCTTTTCTTTTAGACAAAGAAACCTTTTGCCCCTTTTAGACAAAGAACCATATCCCAATTTGGACGCTACTAGCAGGGAAGAACTATTCAAACTGGAGCACTCAAGAGCTAGAATTTTTAGGGTTAGACATAGTAGAGATTAGTCAATTTACCCATCCATCTTTTCTCAGCTTTTTAAAAAAATTATTTTATTTTGATTATTCAACATTTACTAAGCTAATATATTTATATCCTTAGGATCATCAAGTTGCTTTCAGAGAGTTCAAATAACTATAAGGTACTGAACTGCAGCTTTTGTTACCACGAAGTTGAGGACTTGATAAAGACAGCAAGACATTAAAAATACTACAAAGCTGTTCTTGTGTTTATTCCATTAATAATCCTAAACTTAATTTACAGGGTCACAGATGATTCCTAAACTGTTGAAAAATAAACATTTGACATAATATTTAAAACATCACTGTGTGGTTGGATATCTGAACACCAAAGAAGGACATCCTCAGGTTTAAAGAATAAACCTGAACTAATACCAACACTTTCCTAGATGGTTTTCGTATTATTTTCAATTGCCACTTATAACAGTTAACTTTTATGTAACTACCTAGGATCCTGCTGGTAATTTGACAACTTATTCTTCCCCCAATTAAAAATAAAATCACTTGGTTACACATGAAAGAAAACAGAAAGGAAGAAAGCTAGCTAGCTAAAGGCTTTAGTGGCTTACAGACTTATTTAATGCACTCTCAATAAGTAACAGGAGATTAGAAACTACAAGCTACAAGTGGGTAGGTAAAGAATTTTCAGAAACCTTGAGGCAATTTTAAGAAAAATGATAGAACTACATATTGAACTAAGAAAAAAAAAAAAAAAATGATGCGCTGCATTCCCAGCCTAGTAAATGAATTAATATCCATACCTACATATGAGCTGTTGAGTAAGTGACTCAGTATAAGCAAAGCACTTGGCACAACATATGGCCTGAATTCTCATGGTTTTAGTCCTGCAGTCAGTTTAAAAGTCAGGTAACCTGGGCCTGGAGAGATGGTTCAGTGGTTAAGAGTACTGGTTGCTCTTGCAGAAGACCTGAGTTCATATCCCAGTACCCACATGGCAGCTAACAACTGTTCATAACTCCAGTTTCAGGGGATCCAACACCCTATTCTGATCTCCATAGGCACTGCACGACATGGATGGACTTACATATATGCAAGCAATACACTCATACACGTAAAATAAAAAACAATAAATATTAAAAAAAAAATCAGGTAACCATGGGGCTGGAGATATAGGGCTGAGTAGTTAAGAGTCCTTACTACTCTTGCAGAGGACCTGGGTTCAGCTCCCAGCATCAACATGGCAGCTAACAATCATCCCTAACTCCATTTCCAGGGCAATCCGATGCCCTTTTCTGGCCTCCATAGGAGTGCATGCACACTGTACATTAACATACATGCAGGCAAAACACCCACACATGATATAAAATAACTAAATAACTAAATAAATACAAATCAGATAATCAGATTCCTACTCAAATATCTTACTGCAATGATAACCAGATAAATGATTTTATTTTATTTTATTTTTTTTGTAAAAGAGGTTACATGGTCCATTTACTTTAGGCTAAGCATGCTGGGAAATATCCTATGCAGTTTTAAGACTGTCATTCAGTGACCAAAATAAAGCTATACTGCTTAAAGTCAATCTTTATTTCTACAGAATAAATCACCATGCGTAGAAAATCCACAATTGTATTCTTAAAGCATATTCTACTGCAGAAACAAACACATTCAAGCCTAAAAGGGCTCTATGCTAAATTGGAATGCACTACCAAAGGACATGTTTTGAATCACTTTCAGAACACTGAGATTCAAGGTCCAGGGCGCAGGGGCACCACATGCCAAGGGCTTGGCCTTCATCTCACTGCCCAGACACAGGCAAAGCTGCTACTTACTTATTGATTGACTGATTTGTTATTTATTTTTGCTGTCATTGTTTCATTAATAGTAAATTTCCTGAGTCTGGCATGTAGAATACTCCTAGAATCCCAGTCCTTGGGAAGTACAGCAGGTGGATCAGGAGTTTGGGGTCATTCCTGGCTACATAGTGAGCCTAGCCTGTACCACATGAACCAAACTTCAAGAAATCCAGAAAAGTAAATTTCCTATGAAAAATAATTTAATTTTAATGAATAATGTTTTAGAAAAGGACTAGATTTAAGAGTTTATTGAAAGTAAAATACCAGTTTTGCTTCCCCTTTGTTGAGATACCACCACAACAATTTCATGAAAAGATACTCTAAGACATTTTTTAATTATTTTAACCAAGGCAAAATTTTAAATTCATTAAGGTATAAATAAACACACATATGCACACACACACAAATAATCATAACATGGAAAAGTATTCTCTCCTAATATGGAAAACTTCACTTTAGTAAAACATTAATCTACAATAAAAATTAACATAATTTTCAGTTAAATTATATTTAACTTAGAATTATAATATAATACCAGCAAGTAGGTACTCAAATAGTCAGCTGACTTAACAGTAGTGAGATGTAGCAGAAATTTAAATAAACAATAGATTAACTCCAGAGAAAAACTAGAAAGAATATTATTAGGGTTTTTATTAGGTTTTAAGAAGGAAAAAAAAAAAAAAAAAATCCCAACACATGAGAAAACCCATAGGTGGTGCTCTTATACCACTAACTAAAGTTAGGGTATGATACACAAAAATATGTATTGTGAAAACTTGCATACAACTGCATAAGGATAAAACAGACTACCATAAATAACTTATTTTAAGGTTAATTTATATTTCTAATTCCATTTTATTAACATTATTTAAAAATACACATAATTCCCCTTAATAAAAACAAAACTATAGTATCAAAGTTCTTCCTCAAATTCATTATAGATACACTGACTTTATTTTACACAGTTGCAACTTGACTGAATCTGACATTCTGTTCCAGTAGCTTTAGAAAAAATTAAAAAAACCATTTTATTATTTTTTATTTTATGTGTATGCATGTATTGCCTACATGTAGGTAAATGCACCCGTGTTGTGCAATGCCTGCAGAAGACAGAAGAGGCTGTTGGATTCCCTGGAGCTGGAGTTACGGACAGTTGTTAGCTGCCATGTGGGTGCTGGGATTCAAACCCAGGTCTTCTGCAAGAACAACCAGTGTTCTTAACCACTAAGACATCTCTCCAACCCCAGAAAAAATTCTTTAACTGACATATAAATTCATGAAACTGTACATGTTAATGTGATATCGTGAAATGTTTTAATACATGTACTACCATATAATGTTAAAACAGGTCTAATGTATCAATTTCTTCAAATATTTATCAGTTCTTTCTGGTGATCCACTTCTATTTTAATCAATACATTTATCCAAGTACAAGATATTGAGTATGCAGACAAACATACTCTAGCACAATCATAACTTATTCTCTTCTATATCCAAGAAAGAATGAATTCAATTGCTAAAAGAAATACGGACACTTTCTTGTTCTGTTTTGGTTAAGAGTTTGCTGATCTATACTGGTAGATGTGGACTAGGAGGATCTTAGACACCACTTGATCTGCCATTTACTGTCTTTGCTGAAGTATAAACTACTAAAACTTATTGAGTCTTAATTTCTTCACATTAAAATAAGGAGTTGCTGTTTGGGCATGTCCACCATCTATTTGAACCCTCTTTTCTCCATGCATCATGTGATTCTACTGTATTTCTAAAAGCTTATCAGGATACACCAATACATCTTTCTTTCCTCACTTAGCATTTTCTTGATCTACTGAAATCAGACTTTCAATTCTGACCTTAGCCAGAGAAACTATACACCATCAATCAGGCAAAGGAGACCACTCACCTTACTGCCAAATCCAGTCCCCTCAACCCCAAGATACTTGATCTTTCTAGAGAATCTGACATTCACTTTCTTTTCTACCTTGTACTGATTACTACTCTGACTTGGGTGACACCACCTCCTGATTGGTCTGTGTCAGTTTTCTGGGAGTAGATTCCCCTTTCCCAGCTACTTTGGATAAGGCTTGTTCCAGAGTCTCTTTTCTTTACACTCAGTGTAAGAATTCATAGACTCTTACAATCTCAATTACAATCTATAGGTGTGTGCTTAAAATCTCTAACCAGGAGACTTTGCATAGTCAAATGCTCCCTGGATATTCTAATCTCAAATTCAACATGATCAAAACTATGTGTTTCCCAAACTCTTCTCTCCATTTTATATTCTAAATCTTTACAGGCTCAGGTATCATTTGAATAAAGAAAAGCACAGTGAAGTAAAAAGGAAATTTGCTTCAAGAATACCACAGGTCATCTCAAGGATTTTCAAGGAAAAGAAACAAAGTAAAGCAAGACTTCACAAGACTAAAATTGGAAATTTCAGACAGAAACCAAGTTTACTTTTACTACTTGTCATGAAAAGCAAATTCCAAGCTTCTACTTCATGTCTTTGAATCCTTTATTTCTTTCATTAGTTTAGTACTTTATAAATGACCTCACAATCCAAATTCATCTTAATACTTCGGCTCCAGTACTTAACCTCAACTATAATTTGAAGGAGTTTACTGTGATCAGTGTGATTAAATTTAAGCCTCTATTGGCTCAATTTTAAATTATAGGAATTAAAACCATGAACACCAAGCCAAGGGTGTTGAAGACTTAAATACAATTATTTTGATAAAGGACTTATATATGGCTATTATTGATTATAGTAAACTATCAACAAATAATATTACATGACATGCCAAATCAGACTGGTAAACAAAACCTAGCATGCTTCCAGGGGCCTGTGCTTGGCTCAGTAGAAAGGA